AAGCTACATCATATTCCAACTCAAAAGGTTGGAGAATTTCTCTTAACAATCACTTTCAATAATGGATTTTGAACATGGGTATTCAATTTACAATTAAACCATTATCAACTACAACGTAGCTAAATTTATGAATATTTTTCAAATATTCCAACATTCCAACAATTATTATTGCATATCCAATACAAATGCAATAATCAATATTCATTCCAATTACACTTTAACGTAGAATGCAAAACGTTTGTGAACCATCCTTAACTTCTAAAATTAGTATAAGGCTTTTATACCTTTTCTCCTTCGAAGATATTTTTCCATGATTATAAGGTACAGGGAATGTAACATTTTTTTTTCCTTTTACCCCCACAATTTTCCAATTAGAAATGTATGTGCAACTAGCAATGTTGCATCCATAAGTCTTGAGCTTTTCATGTAAGTTCACAAGCATTAATTAAGCATACTTGAACTTAGAGTTCATCAACTCTTTTAAAGTTCAATTTATTCATCAAATAGACAATGTACATATCAAATAATTAAGAACAACAATGCTTCGTGAAAGCCCAAGTACTTTCAAATTTGTGTTCGTCAACTCACAAATAAAAACCACTTTCATTCGAAATTGCATCTCATAATGTACCAAAGTCAACACATAGACCCAAATACAATTTACATATTTTATACACTTATTCGGAGTCTAAAATAGCGATATTTTGGTAATTCTTTTGACAAAATATATCGATAATTGTTGTATTTTTATATTATCTAGGTAAAACTCAATGATTGAACAAAGAATTGAAAGAAAAAAGTGAAAATTGGTGAAAAATGTGAAATCCAAAGTATGAGAACTAAATTTCAACATTTCTATAGTTGATTCGAACCATGAAATGAAGACTGGAGATGTTATGGGTTTGATTAGAAGCAATCAGTAGTTAAAGGATCGAAATTGCAAGAGAAAGTGGCTAAACGGAATCAAGAATTTAGTTAGGGGACCAAAACACAAAGTTTGACATAAGTATAACTGTACGACTGCCCAGTTATAAATCTAGGCGACCGCTCGACTTAAGAAATAAAGAGCAGTGACTTCAAACTTTGCCTAGGCCAAAATCCAGGATCGCAACCTTTTTCTTTTTTCATTCTAAATTATACATGGAAACCACTTTGTTGCACAATTTTTAAACTAATTTCCCGTATATAAATACAAAACATGGGCAGCCAATATAAAACACCTCTCATATACGTAATACACTCTAATATTCCATCAATGCATACATTAAAGGAGACAAAATTCATAGTTTTCGTGAGCAAATTGAAGGAGATTTGCAAGAAGTCAATCAAGTGAAAATTATACTTAGTTTTAGGCAAAGAAGAGAAGGCGCAAGTGAAAATTCATCAAGAAATTATTGAAGAGATTCAAGATTTCAAAATTCATCTACATCTTCTCAATTTATCAAAAATTCGGATTATGTCTTTCATTTAAATATAATTTTTTGTAATTTCGATATATTAGGCTAGTTTTATACATTTCTAGGATGAGATGAATCATTGTTAGAATATTTTTAGTTTTTAATTAATTATTTGACTTTAATTTGTTTGATTTGTGGATGTTTATCATAGTTTTATCGTTCCTTTCAATTGCTTGATCACCAATTGAATTGTTAGTGAATTTTATTTTTATCGGGAGAGATAATAAGGTTTAAGCACAATATAATAAACATCATAAGGTTCGATAGAGGATAGAGACAAGGGTCACATGAGGGGAATATATTTTATCGCTATCGAGAGAAGCTTTCAAGTAAATTAGGAGCATTGACTAACATGAAAGATTTCAAATCGTCACTTTTATTGTTACTAAAAATAGAATAACAAGGATGATTCGATATCTTAGCAATGCACACACACACACTTGCTTTCACTAGTTTAATTAACAATTTAGGGATTAGTTAGAAAAATTACAACTACTTGTTTGCCTTTCCATTAAAGTTGCAATTAATTTTAACTTGATCAAATACGTAGTCCTCATGAGTTCGACACTCTATTCACTACTTTATTACTTGCTCACGATCCCCTCCAGTTGTGAAAGATCAAAGGTTAAGTTTTTAGGCTATTGTCGCGAACTATTGTTTTTTTGTAAGTTTTAGTATATTTCAGCTTTAATTTGAATTGTACTTTTTTAGGTTCAATTTATTATATTAGAGAAACTTTGCAGTATTTTCTGCTTTCTTTTTCAAGACCTTGTATGAGATGCTTAAGATTCTGTGATCTTGTTCAATTTGACCCGGAGATCGAACGAACATTCAACTTTCGAAGAAGACAATAGTTGAAAACACAGCGTAAGAAGAAAGAGGAAGACATGGCAAATAAAAATCCGAATCAAATAGCTGTTGGGATTAATCTTGAAGCAGCACTACCAAATGTGGCTGCAGCTAATGAAAATGCAAGGTTAATGGGTTAATATATTCCATCGGTTATGGAAAGCCAGTCTAGTATGGTATACTCGACGTTTGTCTAGGCAAACTTCCACTCGAGGATTGATGTTATCAACATGTTCCACAAAGCGCTACAATTATTTGGGAGAGCTACAGAGAATCTCAATGCTCATATATCAAGATTTCTAGACATTTATGCAACTATCGAGTATTCATGTGTATCTAGTAAAGCAATTAGACTAAGGCTCTTCCCATACACATTGAGAGACTCGGATTGGAAATGGTTAAATATTTTTCTACCTTAAAGCATCACTTCTTGTAATAGCTTAAGTAAGATATTTTTAAGCAAATATTTTCCACTGAAGAGGATTGCAAAACTGAGGGACGAGATTACCACATTTCAACAATTGGACTCCGAATGTTATTCAAAGGCTACAAGAGTCTACTTGCGGAAGTGACTTCATGTGCAATACTTCTACATTGGTCTGAATCTGATAAACAGGGTTAACATAGACTCTAGTGTGATGGCTCTATCACAAAAAGAACAGTAGACCACGTCTACCAAATTATGGAGGACTTGGCATTCACTAGTGCATTTTGGCCTACTGAAAGGACGAGTGGAAAGAAGGCTACACGAGTATATAAAGTGGATTCTTTGACAGCAATATCAACTCGATTGGAATCATTGGCACAAAAGGTATAACAGATTAATACAATTCAAACAGCTGGATCGAAATGCAAGCATTATGGAGGGAATTATAAAAGTGTTTACTACACTATGGGCAGTCCTTTTGCTCGGTCAGTAAAGGATAAATTTTATGCTCAAAATTTTCAAAGACAACAACACAATCAAAATCCTAACACTTACTACTCAGGCTAGAGAAATCACCCAGGTTTTACTAGGAAAATTAGGGGTACATTTATTCTTTCACATAGTGCGATTTTATGTTTTAAGTGCTTGACTTTTGAATCTATGAATTCAATTCGTACGAGATGAAAACTATCATTATGAGCGTTAAAAGTGCATAAAAAATTTTGAGGTGAGATCATAGAATTGTATGTTAAATGGTTTCATAGTTTTGCTTTTAATTTTTTTAAGTTATGCTAAAGTAACAAGTTTCACCTTAGGCATGGAGGGAACTCATATTCACATATTTACGTAGCCCCTGTTTGGCTCCATTATTTCAAATTTTACTGGGTACAATGGTATTTTTTCGAATAATATGTAATTGAAAAAGAATGAAAAGTTTTTTATTTATATGAATATTATTTTATGAATGATTGGGTAGTTGGGAGAGAGAGAAAAAATTTAATTTAATGGGGCCAAACGAGGCGTAGTTTAAGGACTAAAATATTAGTTTTGAAGATTGAGAACTCAAAACTACATTAATTAAAAGTTTACGGAGGACGACAATAATTTCCTCTTTCAATTGATTATCATGCTCCCCTTTGACTCCCATTTTTCAGAAATGAAAATGGGTGAAATACTGTTTTTCAACCACACAATTTTTCATAAAATAATATTACATATAAATCGAAAATATTTTTTTTCAACCACTCATTTTTAAAAAAAAAATATTATTCTACCCATTTTCATTTTCAAAAGGATAATTATATTACCACTACAAAAATTGTTAGTTACACCACAATTTTTTTTATTTACTTAAATAACCTTAAATAAAATTACATAAGTGGGCTTTTAATATATTTATCAAGTAAAATAATTTATTCTTCCACCACAATCATAAAACCTTTAAAAATCTATCTTCTTCCCCAATCTCTCCTCCAACCCTCACCCTCAAAACTTCATCTTTCAATTAAGTTTGGCCATTAAAGAAATTAAATCTCTCTCGTCGAAATTAAATTGATTAAAGAATAATGATTAAAAACTTATGTTTCAATGATGAAATTGATAGAATTTATCCTCATTCACAACCTTGGCAACATAAATTTTTGAACCAAACATAAAAGTCTATTTACAATATCATATCATAATTTTTTTCATAAAGATCCATACAAAAAAATGGAGCTTCTAGTACCGCATGAATTAACGTAAATCATATCAATTTACCTCCATGAGAGATAGAAAGACATTCCAAAAAAAAAAAAATGGATGAATGTTATTTTGGTTTATTCAAATACACACACAAACATATACCCTTGTTTGTTTTCCATTTTTTCCTCATTAAAATGAAAAATTTGATCATTATCCATCACATTAAGCCATCAAATTTGAATTTCTATCTCTTGTGTAGACTCATAACGACTATATTTTTTATTTTCATTCTTATCATAATGGGAAACAAACGGGAAGTACACCACAATATTGTATTATATTTTTTTTCATTTTTTTTATTGAATTAGGAATATATTTGTAAATTTATTGTGATGTATTTATTAAAAATATATTTTAATTATGATGTGATTATAATGTGGTGTAGTAATTAAAATTTGTAGTGATAATATAATTACCCTTTCCAAAAAATGGGGCCAAACGGGGCGAAATTTGACAATATTCTATATGCCGACATAAACTCCTAAAATCAAAACTCTGTTAAGTCCGATCCCTCTCATGCTTCCTCGCTACGTTTCTTCGACAGACCCATCCATTGACTCATAGAGTCACATTCTTAATTCATCTATAAAATAACCCTCTAAGAATCATTAATCTGTCATCACAAACCCAAAGCCCCAAATTTCGATTTCTCAGCAAACTCAAAGAATAACAAAGAGCCTTCAATCCCAATAATTTCTTTCAAAAAATTTGCACAAGATGCAGTCATTTGGTGATATGCAATCAATGGCTTCCAATATATTTTCAGCCTACGCATCTGTTGCGGCATCAATGATGCTATTTCGAACCATGGCGCATGATATTATCCCGAAGCCCGTAAAATCTTACATCATATCTGTTTTCACTCGAATTTTCTGCTATTTTTTCACTCCATTGTCGACCCGAATCACAATGGTGGTGGACGAGAAAAATGGGATGACCCGCAACCAAATCTACGACTCTGCTGATGTTTATCTGAACACAAAAATCAGCCCAAATACGGAGAGATTCAAGGTAAGCAAGAATCCCAAGAAGAAAAGTATTAGTCTAAGTATGGAGAAAAATGAGCTGGTGATTGATACTTTCAACGGCATTCAACTTGAATGGCAGTTTGTGTTGAAAGTGCTTGAAAATAAAAACGGTCATTATCAGCCAGAGAAAAGGTACTTTGAACTCCGTTTTAATAAACAGTATAGAGAAATGGTGTTGAATGAGTATTTGCCTTTTGTAATAGAAAAGGCCAAAGAAATTAGGGGAAAAGACAGGAATGTGAAATTGTACACAAGGGATTGCCCATATGCAGACGATGAAGAAGGTGGAGTAAAAAAAGGTGGGAATTGGGGTTGTGTGAATTTGGATCATCCTGTGACTTTTGAGAAATTGGCAATGGACCCACAATTGAAAACAGCAATAATTGAGGATTTGGACAGGTTTGTGAGGAGAAAAGAGTACTACAAGAAAGTTGGAAAGGCTTGGAAAAGAGGGTATCTTTTGTATGGGCCTCCGGGGACTGGGAAATCGAGCTTGGTTGCAGCAATGGCGAATTACTTGAAGTTCGATGTCTATGATTTGGAGCTTACCAGTTTGCATTCCAATTCTAATTTGAAAAGGACTTTGTTCTCGACTACCAATCGATCCATTATTGTGATTGAAGATATTGATTGCAATGCTCCGATGCTCAACCGGAATGCTGAGCCTAAACTTTCTGATACCAAGGTTAGTCGAAATTTCATGGCAGAATTCGATTACTTGCTTTACCTGTATTATTTCTGCGGTCGTGCTAGCTGTGCACAATGATAAGTAGCGTGAGATATGATTAGGTCGGACTTAAAAAATAATAATAACAAAAATAAAAATTGCTTCTCCACCCTCTTTTTTACATTTCATTTGTATGTAAACAAACTTCGTCACGTCCAAGTACCATTATTCTTATTTCTCTGCTTGCTATTACTGGTGTTCTAGTGTCCTAGAATCCTGGCTTATGGGTCTAGCACGAGCTTGTCTAGGCCCTATATGGAATCCTGGTCGGCTAGTTTAACCCCTGTTTGACTCTCTTTAAATTAAATAAAATTTTTTTATTTTTCATATTTATTTTCAACCATACATTCACGTAATAAAATATTCTGTACGAAAATCCAAAAATTTTTTCCTGCTTTTTAACCATATTTTTCAAAAAATCATTGTTGAACATCATTTTCCCCCAATTATAATGGCCATCAAACAGGGACAGACTTAGACATCATCCTTACTCACTA